TTGTACTTTATATCTTGTGGAGCACATAATGTTGTATTTAAGAAGTGAATCAGCTTTAACAGTAAACACTTTTTGTTGAGTGCGAGTGATACAACAAAAGCCCAAGGCACTTTTGGGGTAGCTTCAGCTCCAGCAAGCATTCCTTTTAAAGACCCCTGACAAATTACTCTTTAAAGGTGGGCTGTTTCCATTAAATAACTTTTTTAATATCTTAATAAATCAGTCCTCAGGTTATTAGTGACAGAAAGGACACTTAATACTCTTGTGTATATTACATCATTAATAGATTTGTGTAAGAAGGATTTGAAAGATTTCAAAATGAAAATGAACAGTTTAGTTATTTGGGTAATACTTGGCAGTTTAAAGATAGAATAAATCTACACAGTTCTAGTGATTTTTATTTTTATTTCATATCTGTACTTATATTTATTCAATTAATTATATAAAATAACTATAATAATTATATAAAGTAATGGTTTATCAGTAATTTCATTTTAATTCATTATAAATTGAAATATTTCCAAGATACACGTATAATATCACTACTGACAGTTAATGAAAAGTTGTATAAAGTAGAATGTGGATGGCAGGGCATAATACCAGTAATGTGGAGATAAGTTTGGAAAAAGTGTAATTGAAAAAAAGTTATGAAATATAAACTGTTTCTTGGGCAGTAACTAACAATACATCACCTTTAAGGGTTTCCCAAAATAGGGTACTATTTGTAATCCAAGAATTTTTGTTAAAACAGTTGAATTTGCACCAGTGAATAATTGACTACATTTTCTTTACCTAATAATCTAATATTTAATGCATCAGACATCTGAAGTTTAGGAAAATATTCACTCACAAAATAAATTAATGAATACTATATAAACTAAACAGTCTTTTATATCATGACACAAGTTCCTCTTCAAGAGAAATATTTACAATATTTTTTCGCTATATACAAAGCCTGTTCTTAATTCACATACTAAGTATTCTCATATATTCTACACCAACATTTAAAGTTCCTTTGTCTGTCTCTCCAAAGGTAGGGTCTCCAATAGGGCTTCTCCTTGACAGAATCCCTTGTCTTCAACTTGATCTTGTATTGTCTAATCTATCCGTATACTGACACAGTAGATTTTGTTCCTCTTCCTTCTTATCTGTCAGCTTGATACTTATGTTGACATCTTATCTTGCTTGCTCCTGTTTCTTTGAGCTCTTCTGATGACTGCAGTTGCTTCAGTAATCTTCTTTTTGTCTAGTTCCTCTAAATTCTTACTACCTGGTATGTTTCCTATCACCAAGTCATATGATGGTTTTTTGATACACATGGCTGCAAGGTGTCCAAAATAATATAGAGTATCCACCTGTATTTTTGTAATGGGGAAACTTTCTCACTGTCCCGTCAGTTAGCACACACAGGCATACCTTACCCGTCATCTGTTCATCGGATACTAGACTGGTTCTCACTGCTGCACTAGAACCTTTACTTTCTTATCCCCAACATAGACTTCACATCACATATTGGCATATTATGATTTGTTGGCACCTCTTGATATTTGTCACATGCTCCCATCACTAGTAGCACTGTTGATCCATTTACTAACTTGAGCTGACCATTAGTCATGCACTGATCAATTGTGCTTTGTTCATATATTGAATATGACAAGTTGTTTTAATTCTCTTTCTTCTGACAGCAGTGTATAATTCACTTATGCTGCCCCATGAGTTACCACAGTTGTATCCTATTTAGGCCTACTTTCAAATAATCATCTGCTTTTCATCAAAGTCCACACAGGCAAGTTCAATTGCTTTAGAACACCCTTTGATGAGACAAATTATTCTCCTAAATTATCAGGAAACTGTTAATCTCATTTTAACATATCAACAGTTAGGCTATTCACTCCTACGATGGCTTTCTACCTGCTCTGTCTGTCTACTTTTCCTGCTCATCTCATACTATTTATATGTTTATTACTTAATTATTTCTCACTATATCCTCAACATCAACAAATTTTACATGATGTTCTATAATCTTTACATTGGTGAGTTATTAACATAATGTATGACTCCTACCAATTTATGTAACTAATCATAACATTTACTTTAAAATAATTGCTTCTAATTCTCTTGTTGTGAACAAAACTAAACAATCATTAAACGTGCACTCACAAAATAAATTAATCAATAATATCTAAACTAAACAGTCATTTATATCATGACAAAAGTCTCTATTAGCTCCTGTGGGTCTTACACTTTTCATTTAAAGTACGTGCACACACCATCACTTACCCATTTTGTGGTAATGTATTGCATTGTATTCTGTGTACTGTCTGCATTGAAGCTTAATAAACATTTGCATTTATTGTTAATCTCCTTGTTTTTTTGGACCCAACTGTGAGGAAATACCCACATACGAAGATCACCGAATCTTTTGATTTTGCATGCCCAGTCTTTTCTGCTTTGCTAGATATCCTCAAGATGCCACAACAGTTATGGGTTTAAATTGGATTTTTCATGATTTTGCTTGCATGAAACAAGTTTCATGATGTCACTAGGGCAGTATTGTTAAGAATATTTTAATGTTATGTCAGTTTTTGATCTGGTAGACTTAACATACTCAGGCCAGATTAACCCAAACACAGAGTAGTTGCCTCTGAGCCTATGGAGTCAAATAATCGACAGTGGTTATGCTTTTTTCTTTTTTCAGATGAGTTTTATTTTAGAAACTGCAGTATATTAAAAGTTTTATATTTGGTAAAAGCTTGGTTTGATGAGTAAAATTTCATTAAAAAAATAACTTGTGAAGAAGAGAAATGGGAGCCCACATAACTAAAGTTGTCAGGCAGGACCATTGTAGTCTTAATCTACCCTGGAACTTACTTCAAATAAATTAATTTCTTTGTTTGAGCTTGGCCTTACCATGTAGAATTGTTAGAAGAGACAAAATTAAACTGCTGTTTCTAGGTAGTTCAATCTTTCATGACACAGCATGCTTAAAGCAGATGTTCAAGTTGCCTGTAGCTAAATGGAAAAAAGAAACCTGAAGAATGATGTTTTCCTCTTTAAAAATTTGTAGTGCATACTGGAGGGATTTATACATTTGGTATATCTGCTGTACACTTAATTTGTACACTTAACATGATTACTTTTAGTTAACATGTGTGTAATGTGGCATGTCACACAGTCTTACACTTTGTTTTTAACACTTCCCTCAGGAGTCAAGGGTTGTCTTTACACTACAATATGTTGAATATTAAAAGTAAGTTCAATCCAGAAAAACTCCCAAAGTGGATGATTTTGGATGTATCTTTTTGACACATCTTTGAGAAAAGTTTTTCTTTGTTAATTGATAAATATTTAAGTGAAATCCAGCATCCTCAAGTCTCCATACTAGCTAGTACTAAGGTCTACTTGCTGGGAGTAAATTCAGTATATATGAATAAAGCCACATTCTCAGCATCATTAAGTAAGCAATTGTCAACCTTTTATGCTTCTGCTATCAACTTTTTGTGTTTAGCTTTCAACTGAGATATGAAAGATTTCACCTGCAATTTGGTAGGGAAGGTTGATACATCATGATAGCCAGCAGTAGGACAAGCAGCCAGGAACACTTTGAAATTAGCTATAGGCATAATATTGTACTCAGCTTGCTGCACAATATCTACCAAGGTGGTTCTAAATGGTTCCTGAATACCTTTACGTTTTTTTTTAAAACTTCCATGCTTCTTGTACTTGGCCATTATACTCGTGATGCACTGATGGATCTCAGTCACCTTACCACTTCAAATCACTTCTTGCAGCCACAGTGCTGAAAGAGTGTGGAAAATGCCTCATTTTTAGCTAATAAAAATGTCCAAATATTTATTAGCAGTTTCTATTTTCCATCTATTTGTTTTTGTAGCTAGCCATAAAACATTTTTCAATTCTCTTTATTTTAATAGTTCATATTACTTATATGTTAGTATAGCTATATAGTTAATATCATAACTATCCTGTAATATTAGAACAATAATGAAGCAATAATAATATTCTATACATTGTTAGAGGCATGTTACAGCAGACTTGAGAAATAGAACATCACAAATATTCTAATATCAAGCAGTTTTATGTACTGGCCCTGAAGAAGCTGCAAAGGCAAAAGATCAATTAAAATAAAAGTTATTTTATAATTATCTGGAGTGTAAAGTTAATTGTTTGCTAACTTCATTATCAAAATGTTGTCCTCTTAGTTTAATTGGTGAACACATTTTAGTTCTGTGTAGAGAAGCAAGTACAGGAAAAATAATGCATTTCTTGTCTATTTAGTTTACAGAAATGAATAGATGAAACTAATATCTACTTTTATATATAAATATAAATCTCATTCAGTTTTTGTGTAATTTTTTAAATTAAAATTTTGAGTTTGCCTAGCAAACTTGATAATATTGTGAGATGAGTGTATTTCACTTTCATTGCCTTTGGGTGTAGAAAATGAAATTGCAGGTTTATTGTGTATCTTTTGATAGAGTTAGAGACTTTGATTAATTATTTTTTTACTTTCTAATAACCACGTGAATTTAGGTTGAATATGCCAATTAATTTGTCCATGAAGTTCAAATCTGTAATCTGGTTGTTTTCAGTGGCATAATGTCGCATATCATCCTGTGTTTTTGCCAGTTGGAGGTTTCCAAAGTTAACTGTTTAGCTGTTTTTAATTGTACTGATTCTTTTTCTAGGTTAGAAAGCTGTATTTTTTGTAATGTTTGAAGTGATTACCATTTAGTTTCTAATTAAAGCTCAATATTAGTGGTTAAGTTGTCAATGAGAATTGTAGACACTCACTTGAAACTTCCAGGATTAAATCATTTGTAATTATTTTTTTTTCAGTTAACAAGGATACATATTGGTAAGAAATTAGTTCCAATTTTTATCTCCAGGGTTTGAAATTTAAAATATTTTGATAGCTTAAACATAAAAGGTATTTAATAAACCACATAGAAAAATTTTAATAGTTCAAACTTTTTGCACAGGGAGTAGCTACAAGGAAGACACATATAAGGAAAATAATTGTGGTGAGAGTGATTCAGGGGTGACTGATGGCCATCACAGTAGTGTAGCAGAAGATGAAGTGAATTCTGACAAGGGGAGTGCAAGCACTGCAGATTCAGACAGTGCCCAAGGATCCTTGTGGCCAGACTCCACTGCTGGATCTCCATCTGTTATTGAAAAACCTACATACAGAGCCAGCATAGACTTGCAATCCCCTGAATTACCAGAGCACAACAGTAATATTGAGAACTCTCTTATAAAAAGTAGTAGTTTTGAAACTAAACATCATGAACTAGTTGAACTTCCTATCTCCCAAATGAATAATATTAACACTGAAGATTATTTCCCCAAGAGAGGCACTGTTGAAGCTAGGCTGAAACAGCTCGAAATAGGCAGTGGTAAGAGAAATATCAAAGAAGGTTCAAAAGATGCTATGGTTATATTATCTGAATTCAGACACTCTGTTCCAGATGTTGTTGAAGACACAAGACGTTCCAGGAGCTCTACAATAAATTGGGATCCAGTAAGTTGATAGTGGTGTGATTTATTCTTAATTTTAATATTTTTTATTCAGCATAAAGAACTGAGTGGTATTTTGTGTAACCTGAACATGTAAAAATACTTTCAAGATAATGTACAAATGTTCATTTTACCTCAAAACACTTGATTTTTGTAAACCTTGGAGCTGGGAAAGGTTAAAAGAACTGAGAAGTTTGAGAGTTTATGAACTGAATATAATGTTTACTGAAAAACATTTTCTTTTATTAGTCTTAATAGTCTGGGTAATTAGTGAAATTTGCTAGTTGATTAATCATTGGGCTCATTAAGTGATTATTCTTTAAGCAGTTACTCTCATAAGACAGCTAAAGCAATAAAATGCTTATTTTCACGAGTTATCCAAAAAAATATTACCTTATAATACTACCAATTGGGTGTGCTTCATAGCCAAGAAATATATTAGTAACATTATAATTACCTGAATAGTTGGAACAATCAGAAATAGTAATCACAAACCCTAATTAGTTGATTATTTAAGTTAGTTGTGACACTAATCAGTTACACTGAACAAAGATGATTTAATTGAAAATAATAGTGAAAAATCATAATGATAACATTCCAGTTACTGGATAGTTAGATTATTCAAAAATTAACAATCAGAAATACTAATTTCTATAAGTTGATTATTTTCATAACAGTAATTTTAATTATTGGGCAGGTGTAATAATTTGAAATGCTAATTTCAATTAGTTGGTTATTTTCAGGACATTAAATGATTTAAATGTAACTTTAATTACTGGATAGTTGGAATAATTGAAAAGAGCAATGATTGGAAACACTAGTTGATTATTTTCATGGTATTAATATATTTAATTGTAATGTTGATTAATCAACTGTTTTACAAGACACAAATCACTGTATATGGTGTTCATAGATAATTAGTTGAATTAATTGCCCAACTCTACCCATTTGTAATATTTTGATTTGTAAGTAAATCCAATAAAAATGATAATAATTAAAGATATACTATTTTCCAGACTGATCTTCTGATGGAACTGTATAAAATAGAAATTTCTTCACAGGTTAGTAAATATTCATTCACATTTGTTAGGAGATTACACTATCACATTAAATATAGTGGAGTATCCTTCATATATGAGAGTAATTTGGATGTGGAATTATCTTGGTTGATTTCTGGCTTCAGTTTATGTATGAGCTAGGTTCTATTTACCATTGATAATATCTTAAACAGTTTGAGTGGACAGCAACATCACACTCATCTATGGAATGGTCTAGTACAGTGGATCTTGCCACATATCTTAAATTAGTGTATCCTTTCACAAAAATTAATTTTCTTTAAGTAGATGCAAAATAACCATGCTGACAGCAAGGAAAAGTAAATTTATAAACAACATTTGATGATTCTAATGAAAGAATAAAATCCTTAAATCTAAAAAAAAAAATGCATACGCAACAATTATGCTTAAACAAACATTTAAACTGTATTTGAGGATATACCTTACAAAATGTAGTTCTTAACTGATATGTTTATATATAAGGAATATTTACTAACATATGGCAACATTCTAACTAAAAAGTATTTAGGAACTTCATCTGTAGATGGTTTGCTGTACTTTGCTTTTATCAGTAATATGTATGTGAAAACCATTTTGAAGTAAGAATTCTTTGATATTTATTAAATACTTTATGCAAAGCTTCATAAATAATTGAAATTTTGTCAACACAACGAAATAAGATATTAAATAAAATTTTCTTTATGCAAAAGAGACCTTGCTCTTATACAAACTGAGGCCAGAAATTAACCAAGCGAATTTTACATTCAAACTACTATTGGTTTTATAATACCATATTGTCATGTTGTAATTCCTTCATATGTATTATGAAATCTTACCCATATTTACTTTAAATGACATGATCATGGTCTAGTACTATGCTAATTTACATTCTGTGTTATGATATATTCATTCAGGTTTGCTGTGGTAGTATCATTTTCTTGAGGATGTCCACTGTAGTGTTTTTATTGTTTTCTTAATAATTTACTGTTTCGTATTCAGATTGATCTACAGATAATTACAAACTGGTGTAGTTAAATAATAAAAGCTTTGAAAGATTAACCTGTTCTTATTTTCTATTGATCAAGTAGACATCACTTTCTAACTGATTACTGTTTTTTTTTTAATTTGTATCATTGAAAAATTTTACCTTTCTTTCCATCTGCAGGATAGACAAGAAAGTACTACTTACGTAAACACTGAAGGTTACCTGGAGAAACTTCCCTCTGGTAGAAAAAGTGTTACTTATTGGAACCCCTGGAAACGAAAGTACTTCTGTGCAAGGGATGGGTTTCTCTGTTCATATGATGTAGGTTTGAAATACTGAAAAAAATTATTTTCTTCTAATTTTGGAAAATAAACTTGCATCAGAAAACACAACAAATGGGGGAAAGAGGAAAAGTGTATATATCTGTAACTTCAGAGCAAAAGTAAGCTAACTTCATAGTTCGAAACAGAAAAGTAACTTGTAAATTAATATAAATAATTTTATATAGCAAACTGACTCAAAATACATAATGTCAGTAAATCAATACACAAGAAAATGTTTTTCATAATGATTACAATGTGTACTGATTCATTAACAAATACAATAATATCTTATCATGTTCTGCCAGCTTATAAGAGATAGGTTAGTTTTCAATCCATATGTTAACAATATAAAATAACTTTCATGTTATTCGGCTTTTAAGGAGTATTTGTCTCGCATGGATGCCTCATATGGTTTTTTTATTATTTTTTTTGTAGAGTATCCAATCAGAAAAGCCTAACCAAAAGATACAGCTCATGGGAGGTGTTGTAGAAGTCCTGGACAATAATGTTATAGGTATTGATGACAAGGTAACTAATGGAATCTATCACATTGTTTTGTATCACATTTTAATAAAAGTAAAAAAAAAAAAAAAGAACCCCTAAAATGCTATGACAAAACAAAAGTCATCATTAAAAGAGAAAAGTACTTGCATATTAATTCTTGGTTGTTTAACATTTGTTCATCCTCTGACCATAGATAAGACTGGCATTCAGTTAGTAATAGTTTGATTAGTGTATGTATTTCATGATGCAGATGGTAATAGTTTGACTAATGTTTATTATGTGAAGCAGATAGAGCATGTAATAGTAGTTTGTATGCTTATTTCTAGATGCAAATAAAGCAGACAGTACATCTTTGATTAGCATGTATGTTTCATGATTCAGAAAGTAATAGATTAAATACTGTATTTTTTTCATGATGCAAATTGTAATGGATTAATTAATGTATTTATGTCATGATTTAGATAGACCAGATAGAATTACTTGGATATGCTATTCCCCCTTTGCACAACAAAGAGCTATTACCTCATGCCACTGCCATGAAGAATTTTTTCCATGTCACAAGCCTTGAATGAAGCTTCCACCCTCTCACATATTGCACCAACCTATGATTTAATTATCATTAAACCATAGTCTTCCATCAGTTGGAAGGCGACACTTCTTCCATGTGCAGTAATCCCCTTGAGTTGTAGCTTGCTACATGGTACTTTACCTCCACTCACATTAAAATTTTAGTGCATGCCACAAGCCTTGAAGCTCCCACTCATCTGTAAATGACTGATTCCAATGTGTCTCCCATGCATATCATCATGCAACAACCCTCCACTAATAAGAATGCGACCTACTCTCTTGACACGTGGCTCCTTCTATTCAATTTTACTGAACTGTCACTTCTCATTTGGCAGTACTTGTGTTTTAATGTTTTTAATTTGTGTTCTCTTCAAGTGTTTAATTTTAATTTTTTCCATATCTGGGTGTTAATTTCTCTCTACAAGTTTACTCTGTTATACAATAGTGATACTTGTAACTTGAGTTATTCTGAAGTGGAATTATTTTATATTTCTACCCAGTTACAGAATTTATTATTTCATTACACATACTTTTTATTTCTTTCTGCCAATGCAGTTGTGTTTGGTTATTGAGTTTGCAATATGAATTCTACATTAACATTTCGGGAGTTATATGTTCTTATTTTCCATTCTTGGGTCACTATATTAGGTTTGTTTCACCACATGCTTTGGTCTCAGTTTCATGCTTTGCCCTTTGGTCTTTTTTCAGTTCCATAGGTCTTTTGTGAGGTGGTCAGCATTTTCCCTGACTTCCACATTTTGGGGAATTTTATCTACAACATTCGTTAGATGTCTAGCTTCAGTAAGATCCTTCCTAAAGGGGGGTAGTCTTAACATACTCGTATATCCCTTCCACTGTCAGCTTGGGTAGTTGGATTTTCCAGTTGGATATGTTTTTCATGTTCTATACCTCACATTCTGCTTTCTTTTGGGTGAGTATTTTTAAACAACCCTTCATCGGGACCATCCATTCTCCTCCTTGAATGCATTCATTCAATCAAGTTTTCTGTTATCCGAGCCCTTCTTTTGATCTTCCTGTTAATTTTCATCCTTCCCTCTTTGTCTGTATGCATTGATAGTTGATCATATCCCCTACGATGTCGGGTTTACCACTTCCTCCCCCTCTTCTGGATTATTTCTCTTCAGTGATGCTCATCTCCAAAGGTGGGGAATGTGGTTCGATCAGTAGGAGGTTTTGGAACAATGGTCTACAGGCAAAATTATCACCTTCACACCCTGGCATTACCACCAGTCCAATGTGCTTTCGTTCACTCTCTTCCTTTTGTCCGAATTTGACTAATTGTTTCATTTCGACTCTTTTTATGGTGGTGATTTCTATAAATCGCCAAGAGGACACTTGGCGATTGTTCCCTTTGTGGTAGACAGTGGGTCTCCCTTTTTGAACATACACACACACACACACACACACTTGACATATGTCTCCTGTAGGGTCATGTTCCAGATGCTTTTGTTCTCGTTACTGATTGGCTTTTCAGTCCCGTCACACTTTCTCCCAAGGAGTGACCTCTATCCTCCAAAATTGTTGGTGACATTTATGAATCTTTTATCAATTCCCAGGTGGTTTCCTCTTTTGTTTTTGGTCTCCAGTTCATCATCCACTTGCCCTGGCTGTTGATACATTTTCACAAGATTACATTCAGTTTATAACATTATTATTTGTTCTCTTTCCATCAGTCTTCTTCCCAAAATGTTTGTTCATTCATGTTACTCTGGTTCAGATCTTTCTGATTTATCTTTCCTGGCTGGCATAGATCTGGTTTTCTCAGCTGTTTTGGTTGGATCCAGATGACCTTTTCTGCCCATATTGTGGATTGCTTCATTGTTTTACAGCTTCTTTTTGTGGAATCCATTCCTAGGGTTTCCTTCTCTTACTCCACTTCTTTATATGTGATTTCCCCCCCTCCTCCTTCCTGACCTATAGATTTTGGATTGTGACTTGATTGGCCTTTAATTTCTTGTATCCTTCTTCCTGTCATCAATTCCTGGTGTCTTCACTCTGATTATGCATCTTACCTTTTCTCTGCACATTAACCCTGTTATCCATTGGAGGTACTTCGTTCTGTCAAGCACTGGGACTAGACCTCGTACAGTCATCTCTCATTCTCTGCTTTGGGTAGCTGTTTCTTTCTTGAGGTACCGTCATCCACCTGTTGGCATGCTTTAATGTTTCATGAGACTGTGATTGGGTAAATTACCTATTTGTATAAATACATCTTTTTTTTTCAGGGGCATGTCCCTTATTTTCTTTATGAATCTCACTGTGTGGCAAGTGGTTCCTGTAAAAATATACTTAAACTAGTAAAAGCTGCACTATAAAGCTGTGGTGACTTAATATTTATAATTCCATGTTGACTAAACATACATTGCTGAGATAAGGTGTTCAACAAGATCACTTGTTATATATTTGCTTCTTTAATATGCCTGTTCCAGACCGTACTCGCCCATGGACTACATGGGTAAAGCAGAAGGGGATAGCTAGCTGCCCATTCCTGCTCTGCCTTGTATTGAATAAATCGGTATGGTCTGCTTTTCAAAACAGGGTTTACCTGGTCACCCATTGCACTGTCTCAGGTGTTGTCATTCTTTCAGACTCTCCACCGTGCTTTCTCCCCTTTTCTTCTAGTGGAGTTTGAGAGTCCCTACCACTTTCCAGTTCCAAGCCACGGGGGTAATGGTTTTGTTCTATATTGACGAATTATAATTTATCCAAAAGAATTTGAAACAGAAAAAGTAATAATAATAATATATATGCTAATTATTTAGATTTGGATATCAAATTAGTAAATGGTAAAGCACAACTAAAGATTTTTTATAAGAGAAGAGCATTTAATTTTCCCATCCTTGGTCTGCCACCCCTAATAGTGTGGTTCCTCATATAATGCTGAAAGGTGTTATTACATCTCAATTAAAAATATCTTTAAGTGTTTGTAACAACAGCACATTTTTTATGGATAGTGTTATATTCTTCATAACTAAACTAGAAAATAACAGGTATAAATACTGGCAAATGAAAAAATGTTTTTCACAAGTTTTTATAATAAATTTCAAAAATATTTTATTAGATAAATACTGAATGAGTAAAAAACCTTTTTTGTCACTAGAGGTAGGTAGCTACCTATAATATGCAAGTTAAATGTATTCAGTATAGCTCGGAGTGAAAAGACTAACTTCAAGTAGCTGGGCTTGTCTCAGTTATCCTGTGCTATACTTGAATAATGTGACAATATGAACTACTTAAGGTAAGTCTTGTAGTTCTTTTCAGAAAAGGGTGTAGGCTGGGAGTAACATATAGTAGAATTATTAGGGTGGTATTTATTCTACTTTAAGGATCTGTAGAGCTTTTAAGGGTGGAGGATGGTTGGCATTATTTAGTAGAAATATATATTTTTTGGGTGGCTTAATTTTATCTTATTTCTACTTTTAACTTTATTACATTTTTTAAGGGTATCTGCCTTCACACAACTGGCTGAAGACAGTGAAAAGCAGTAAGAGTTGAGATGTTGTGGGTGTAAGCACTCAACTCTGTACCCTTATTGAATTTTCCACGATTGTTGACTGGTTTCTCATCTGCTTTTTTGATTTTGTCTGATAGATGGGATATCCTCAACACTTTGGGTGCTATTACCACAGGTAGTCTCCCTTATGACTTTTGGATAATGACTGGAAAGTGCGAAGGTTTTTTGTTTTTTTAATTACTTTTGAATGTATATTAAGTTCATTATTGTTTTATAATGCTGATATTGATTGCCTGTTGACAATTAATGTAATTGATATAATAGTTTTGAAGCTACACCTCTTATATCTACTAAATATACGTAAGTGGTAATAAAACCATTCAGATTAGAGTAAGGCATTGGTGTTATGGTGGTATAGATGATATGTCCTCCACTATGTAACATTGGAGTTAGCTGCCAAAATTGCAGTTCACCCCTTCAAATGGGGTGCTTCATTCTACCCGCCACATTGATGTCGGTTCCCAGTTGCTGGTTCTTGGATTTAGAACTGAACCAATCAACATAAGTCTTCACACGTGTATTACAGATGTCTCTATTCCCTCACTCATTTCTACTCTTGTTACTCCATCTGTGTTATGTGTCACAATGGAGATACTTACAGGTTACTATGGATCTTCCCCTTCCACTATCCCTCAATGTTCTTATTATTCCAAGGATGTTACTTGCACATGGGGTGGTCCCTGTCAGTTCCTTCATTTCCATTATTATATATTGATGTATATGAATTATGGATGATGAAACCCCTTAAGTCGCCAAGGATGCCTCACAGGGAATACTTCTCTTTCCCAAAATTCATATTGAACAGGGAACTACAGAAAGTGTTAAGTCCATGTTCCCTTGTTCCATGACTACTGTTTAGGTGGGGCTTTTTGCAGATAATATATATTACTCTTCTAGGGTGTATTTCATATAGGGGTTGGGAACAATATCATCATATGGATGCCTGCCCTCCCACTTGACTAGTAGCTGCTGTCCTTAGTAGTGGTAACTTATTGTACAGTCTATCAGTGTAGGATGTTATGCAGATAGGGCAGGAATTATAGTAAAGGCCACCTACTACCTTATGAACCAAGCTATTCCAAGTGATTAGTCTAGTTTAATGGGTCATGTGTTCTTCTTGAGGTGCAGGTCTGGGATAATTTCTCCCTGCACCTGATTATTCTGTTGAGTATCCCAAATAAGTACTTCTGTAATGTGGAACGGCCTGACTATATGCCTTGGCCACACTATGCACTCATGCTCAGCCAACTGCCTGTGCAATAATGAACGGTTGAGCAGCCTTACATTTTGTCCACCAATGTGACACTTTAGTAACATGCAAAAGACTCTTTTAACAATATCTTTTGTTTTACCACCTTACTTGAGTAAAGCAGTCTTCCACAGAGTGATGCTCTGCTAGTAGGCTTCCATTGGATGACATGCTCCATAGGTTTTCTCTTTTTGACAGTATGTTTTAAGAAAGGAGCTTTTCTCTGTAATTTCTTTATCTGCACCAGCTCCTCCATCATGTCCAGTATAGAATTTTAGCCCTTTATTGTGCAGAGAAGCATGTAACATTTCCCACATCAATATTTTCCTTATATGAAAATGTATTTCAGTTAGATATTTACCTCTTTGCATAACCTCCTATCCTTCTTCCCTACTTCGGGTGCATTTCTTTTGCCTCATGAAGAATGGTAATGCTTGTGGGAATTCCTGTGCATGGACAATGTGTTCTCATCCTATTGATGGAGAGCTATAGTCTAATGATGATTATATAGTAGGCTGGTACAGTAAATATTAATCTGTATAGGGGTTATAGTTTCATTGAAGCCTTGTGGCATTTGTAAGAAGCTTCACTGCATTGGCATGAGATGTGCAAAAAGGTATCTATCAGAAATATATTTTTTTCAAGTAAGGAAAATGAAAAGGCTTGATTAATGTGTGTATTTTGTGATGTTTTAATAACTTTTTCAACAGAAAGGACACTATGTAGTTGTAAGGTGTCAAGATGAAGAAGAAACTGAAGACTGGTTTCGATCACTTCAGACTCAATGTCGTGAAAACTTTAATATGACCTACATTCAACCTGTTCGTTATCCATTGAAAAGCCACAAGGTAAAATTTGGTTCTGCCAGTTTAAAGTATTGCATAATTTTTTTGTTCACACGTATACATGTTGTTTTTTTTTGTTTAACTCTTTCAGCATGGGCTTGGTCCCTGGGACTGACCTCATAACCATTTTGTGTTTGTTATAGTTTTCATGCTATAACTTTTAAATTAGTAAGCAAATGTTAACAAAATTTGGCAGGTTATCAGCAAACATTACAATGCTTTAATACACAAAATATCAAATTTTTTTATTAACACTTAAGGTTTGTAAAGCAATGTTTTTCTTGTGTCTTTTTTTTTCTTTTCACATGTTGCCTATCTATCATGCGAAGTAATATTCATTTTAAGGTTAGAAATACTTTTACATATCATAAAATTTTGAAATTTCACATATGAAATCTTTATAATGTCAAGATAGTTATCAAATGTTTCTTAAGAAATAACTTTATATTTTGTTATTTTCAGTAATTTGACCAATCTTGCAATCACCATAAAAAATTAGTAAATAAATATAAATTATACCTCTTTCATTCTCGAATGAACATAAATCAATTAAATGGAGGCATTTCCTGCATTCTAACATAGTAGAAATGGAAAAGTTAGTCCTTTTTCTCACAAAGATAATTTATTTTGTGTACCATCAAATAATCATTTTACATGCCAGAAATTCAATAATTCAGTCATGCACAGCCATCATTTAAAGATACCGTGAGGATACTTTAAATTGCATTTTTCATCCTATCACAGCAATGGCTGTAATTAACATACTGAAATATAAGTATAATGCTGTCTTTAATAACAATAGCAGATGACATAATGTGTAATTGCATAATTATCACAGCCATTGCTGCAATTAACATGCTTAACTGTAAGCATTGTACTGTCATTTGATACCATGGAAATTGATACAATATGTACTTGCATACATGTAGCTTAACCCATATAAACAACATCAAACATGCAAGTATATGACAATATTAATCCCCCCCACCCCAATGTAATCAGCATAAATTGGTTCTGAAGTGGGGGTGCATACTCTGATTGACACCCTGCTAGATCCATACCTGAGAAGTAAGTATTATACTGGAGTTTCCTGAAAACAGGTTACAAAACTAAAACTTTGTTTTATTGACATCGTAATTTCTGATCACTAATGTTAATAACATGTTAAGTGTGCCAAAGTATTTTATGTTTCAAGACTGTTATAATTAACAATTCCGATAGCTAACTATTCTTATGGTATTTATATATTTCAGGATGTGATAATTGTTGATTTGGGAAGCTGTTCAATTCGTGCTGGTGTTCTCATGGATCATCGTAAGTATTTAATTGTTATACAAGTTGTTGGTAAGCTAGTACAACTCTAGTACTTCTGCATTTTCTCAACTTGACAGGTCAGTAACTTCTGGTCAAAGCAAATTCCCTGCATAGATCATTGCAAAATTTTTTTATAGTAGATAATGTAAAATACAGATCTAGCTAGAAATTTACAATATCGTGAAATTAAAATATATTATTACATTCCATTGATTCGTCAGTTGATACCTTTGCTGTTGTCAATATTTTCAGCCATAATTACTTTTTGTAAATATGTATTTCCTCAGTGTGATGGACCAATTTACTTTCTGTAGGATCTGTACTTTCTCATTGTGATAGGTTAGCTTACTTTCTCTAACTTTGTTACTCTTCGATTGACATGATAGATTAGTCTTTTCTGAGTATTTCTTCTATTTTTCTGTGATTTTATGACTATTGAACCTGATAAATTGGCCTTCTTTCCACATATTTTTACCTAAAGTTAATTTTTAAAGTATTAATTATCAATTATAAGTATGGATGCTGATAAAAATATACTTTTAAAACAACTTTTTTGAATGTATGAGGGAATTCAGAAAGAAATGGCTTTTTATTTCTCATCTATTTTTGTTTTCAACCAACAAATATATATATACCAGTGATTTTGAGAATATACATAACTAGATGTTAATTGTTAAGTTAATTATATTACCATTAAGTACAATGCATTTTCTCCATGATGTACTGTTACGAATCATGTGTACATAACTCCTTTAAGGACGTGTTGACTATACAGATGGTCTTCTTTGAGATAGATGCTTGCAGAGCTATGTGTGTTTAGACTTTGTAGCATGTTGTTAAAAATGAACAAAATCAATTTGAATCACAATAATTGTATTGCATATCACCCCTTATAGAAATAAATAGTGATGAAACTTGTTGTTGATGGATACTGACTTTTTAACTTAGCCATCCATCAGCAACAATTTACAAGTATTTCTTGTTGAAAAAGAAAATATCATTTCTTTTCTGAACCATATATTTTGTAGTGAAAAAAAATTAAAGGCAAAAAATTATAACATTTGATGCTTTATCATTTATAGCCACATTGCCTCAAGTTTTCTTCCCAACCATCTGTGCAACAGACAAATACTATAGGTAAGAAATCTTAAAATTGAATGTTCAGTACTTTGAGGTTCTTTTTCTCTTGCAAAATCTTGTAACACTTACTTGTGCCACAAATGGCCTACATTTGAAGAAATATTTTTATATAATTTATTGTAATGCAAGTTTAATTACAGGCTTTTAGCTTTGCTGATATTGGCAGTGTAATTGATTTTCAACTGTTCTTTTTATTTATTAAAAGAAATAAGCCTTTTTTTTTTTGCTTCAAATTTATCTTAACTAACATTTCGAAAGAACAAATGGCTGTAAAACATTAAACAACCATTATAAATGACTGTTTCCAAATATAGTTAACCAATAACTGTAATTTTACTTTTTAGCTAAAATAATGAATACTTTGAAAAAATGATAGTTTGTGTGGGAATGTTTTATTGTGTAAATTTAACTTTATTCTATTCTAGTGAGAATCAGGTATTTGGAATAGAGGCTTTGAAACCTAACATACGCTGCTCATCTAATTTATCATTTCCAGTCTCACAATCTGCAAAAATTACGAAGGTAAGCTTGTATCTCTCTTCTTACTTTATGTAAGTTAAAGGTTTGATAACCACAAATATTATGATTAAATGTTAACTTTGCACCATCATAACATATTCTGCAATAAGTGTAAACTGTAATATTATCTTCTTATTGTAATATTTTGTTTTTAGTATCAGACTTTAATTTTTATCTTTATTTTTCATAGACTTATAGTTTATTAATTATAAAATAAATGTCCCTATAAGTTAATTTATTAGTCTTGAAATTTTCATCCATTTGGTTTCCTATGAATTATTATATACCAGTAGCTTTTAAAATGTACATAAAATTTGTACAAAAATCTGTGATAGTACAGAATATGTCCATGTAATACAATAGGATATTTGTGGATATAGTGAAATTTGTTTTGTCAGTTACATGGTGTCATTTAAAATGTACAGTACCTCTAAAAAAAGACTGTTCTTCAAAATACACATTGAAGTGTTTGAACTTTCTGTTTGACCATTATTTTCACCTGTAGGAAATCTTAACATAAAATTAAGTAAAAACTGACCTCTGTCATATTCATCTGTACTGTTGATAGAAAGTGTGGTTATTTTTTCTTATGAACACCAAAACAGTCATAAGTAATCTGAGTTTCAGCAACTTAATTGAAAAGTATTGTAATGTGACCTGTTTGTTTTCTGTGATAAGATTTTGAAAGAATCCTACAACACACGCACAGTCATGTGAATCTGTCAACTGGGACCTCATATTTACAAAACCTCAAATGAAACCTGTAATTCATATTTTTATAATTTTTAAACTTTCTTACAGTATACCATGGATGTGGAAAAACTTTCAGGGCTTTTCAAGAAGGTCTTTCAAGAGTTAAATGTCGACCCAAGAAAGTATAAGGTAGTAAACATTTGAGGCACTATTTTATATCTTAATACATATTGCTACTCAAGAGGAGATTTCTGTAATTAATTATAATATTTCTGTTATTGAAAAATTTTAAATGTGTTAATTCAAACATCTATAAAATTAAAATTTCAAATGAGTGTGTGTTTACATGCAGTAACTGTATGAATTTTAATACTGTGGGAATGAATAATTATGTAATTTAACAAAAATAATTAATGTTGTATTATCCCCTTAGGTCACTGATGTAAAGAGTGTGGGTATTAAATTGCTAAAACATTGAATTTTGAACCCTGTGGGCTCAGCATAGATTGCTCATTCTGTAGCTTTGTGCTTAACAAAATAAGCTCTGTTATTTTATAGTTATCCGTTTCATAAAAGGTGCCAGTTTATTCATAGTAGTTCTAATTATATTTAGCAAAACTTGCAATTGAACAGAAGCATAGTCAATATTACATTATCAACCTAAAAAAACTGTATACCATTGTTACGTATTACAATTTATCCTCGACAAGTATCCAACTTATTACATAACATATTACAACTTCAAATGGTCTGAAATTGAGTTAAATTGTAATTTAGATTTAGAAGTTAAATAGATGCTGATATGTATCCAGTTTATGATATTTGGCAACAAGATTGATACACACAGTTTTCTTTTTTTTTTAATACAAATATATTTTAGTATACAACCATTAATACAATTGACAACAATGGTTCTTACAAATAGTTATTACAAACAGTGATTTATATACAAAAATTTTACAAACTTGAAAGCAATATAAAGTATTCTTTCTAGTCTGGAACTTCCTTTATCTAATCGAGGGTTCACAATGAACGAGTTAATTTTGAGTTGACGTAAGTACAGTTCACTTAATAGGGAGCTAGCTAGCTCTGTGGTCTTCACTAATCACATGCCAATTTTTTCCGCCGATGAAATTAGGTAATGTTTACTGTAAAAGTACTGATATCCAATGTGGATCCACTGAAGTTAAATGGTTTGTAATGTTTGAAATTTATAAATGTTCCTGGTCAAATATCTGAAGTTTCCCAATTAATAATCGTTTTAACAATCACAGTTATAGCTTCCAGGGTTTATAGTATACCAACTATATCAAACCAATAATAGATACTGTTTTTTGGCTTGTTGCATTGGTTATATTTATAGGCGTGTGAGAGTTTTTCGAACTTTCAGCTTACGCAACAATACTGATGCTACACTAGCGTTTACATACACACATATATATTGTTGATTCTTACACTCGAGAATCTTCTACAACTTTAGATAATAGGCAGGAATTTCGTGATACAGATTTAACAGTATAAAATATAAATTTAATTAATTTAAACAAATATCAATATTAAAATAAATATATAATAGTAAGTCCATCACACCATTCACTAGAATTATTTTTGTGCCTGTTCCCAAAACCATTCCATTGCTTAAATGCTTTGTACTCACTCAGTTGACCCACTTCAACTATAAGGGTTCTGTTAATGTTACTTTTATTAATGAGTGCCTTTCTTGGAATTGTCATTGGCTGAGATATTATTATAGCTGCAATTTTGGCCAATAGAAAAGTTTCTTGTCACTCCTAATCCTTTGCAATCTTCAAGGAAGGAAGAAATTTAATTTTTACAATTAATTTGTTGTGAAAAAGTGAACTTTTTTCGTGTATGGCTTTTAAAATTTACATTTTTGATGATAAATTTTAATTTTGTAACATTTCATTTTATTTACTGGTATGAAGCAGTAATTCATATTTAGTAGGTGTAGAACTGAAACAAGTTTAAATTCATTTTCCACAGTTTTCAGGAGGGATAAAACTTTTTTTTTATTATAGGTTTAAAAAAGTCTTAAGTCTTTTCTTTGGCAATTTAGAAACACATTGAGGTAGAAATATTAGTTTCATTTAAACAGATTTTAAGTCAAGTAGGAGTTTACTTTCCATTTTGGAAAAACCCTTCACTAACTTATGAAGTCACTCTAAACTCCTGCATATATTAAATTTATAATTCATATACATTGAAAAGGTGTTTTATTTTTCTGTCTGCCACAAGCATATTATTTTTAAATAGACATTTGACAATAGCAAGAAACATAGAGAATTATATAATTATGAAAAGACAAAACCAAGAACCATAGTTCTGTTATTCATCTTTAGGCTGCTATTTCTTGTGTATTGTACAAGGTGAATCAAGAATACATATTAGGTAAAGTAGGGATAAGTTGCTTGTTTTATATAAATGTTTCTGAAGTAAAAAAAAGTTTTCAATATGCCATAGTTAATTAATATAAATTTTTTTGTTGTAAAGCTCAAAGTGAGACTCTGCTGAACAAGTAGTATTTAGATTAGAATAGTTTTTGTATTATTCACATGCTGTTTTATTATTATAAAGAACTGTTTGTGTCAAGTAATGAGCTTGGACTTTTCTGATAAATACTTAGTTTTGTGGATCTTGGTTTATAAAAGAATATAATATAACATTTGTAGGCTGGCATATATTGCACCAATCATAACTTAAACTATTTGTTTTCAATAAATTTAAGAATAATAATATATGATTATTGTCCCTTTTTTCTCAGGTTCAAGTATGTGTACCTCGTAGTTTTAGTATTCAAACTCAAAGTGCCATTCTCAAGACACTTTTTGAAGAATTTGGCGTATGTGGAGTCAACTTAACTCATCAGGCAATCTTATCTTTATATGCCTACAACAGTACATCAGGAATTGTTGTTGACATTGGAGATCGAATGGACATTGTTCCCATTACTTATGGTAACGAAGATATTTTTTGACATTTATAATGGAGCAACAAGTTTATAACCTGTTGTATTTGTCCTACAATCTTACATATGGACTAGCACTGACATATCTTTTTCTTGTACAGAATGTTGTTTTGAAACAGTTAGGACATGTGTTAGTTTTTTATATAAGATCAGAAACCACAAGTGATTTATTGGATGTTACTTAAAATAACTGTATTGGCAAGAACCTTCTAAAAATGTTAGTTAAATTATAACTTGAAGACCTAAAATAAAACATTATTTCACAAATCTTAGACTAAAAAATGTACATCTTGACACGAGAGTTTAGTATTTTGAGATGAGAGTTACTCTTCACCAATAAGCCATGTATTTGCAAGTAACTTTTAAACTAGATTCATGATTTCTTCTCCAAATATATAGAAAAAATTTAGATTAATTTAATTTTAAGTATATTTGTTTCTAGATTATGCACAGATAATTTACCATGATGCTTTACTGTACTAATACTAATTTCAAAGTTTACATTAAATGAATGTTTACAAGTTTAATGGTCTTGTAACTTTTACTAGGATATATTGTTGAAAGTGGTGTTACAAGGTTACCATATGGTGGGCAACGTATGCTTCATCATCTCAGACATGCGCTGACACAGAAACATGTTAGGTGAGTTTTTAAAAGATAAATTTTTATCTCCCACTTCACTTTCTACTCTTTAAATTATTGGTTTTCTTTTACTTCTTTTTTGTCACTAACATGAACATGTTAGGCGAGTTCCTACATGCACTGTTTTATAGACATGCATTGGTTGAGTTTTTATTAGTTCCTGAGCTTATATGGATCATTTTCTTCTGTGAATGTCAGGCATGATTTTTTTTATCATTGAAACATAATATTGTTTATCATTATGCAATTAGTTAAACAAGATGGACTATTTAATGTTCAGTGTTTACCATAATTTTTTTTATTATAAACTAAATATCATTATTTAAGTCTATAAATTATATATTCAAAAACAAGTTTGTAAACACAATTAACATAATGACCATCATCTTTGAGTGAGATTACACACACACTTTTCACATTAACATTTCAGTCTGATAAGTGACATAGAAGCCTACATTATACGTTATGTTCAAGAAAAAGCCTGCTTTGTGTCTCGTGATTACAAGAAAGATTTGGAGAATTTTAGAGAAAACCTAGAAAGTATTGAGAAAACCCTGACTGTGAAACAGTTCTTCCAGACAGAATGCCCAACGGAGTAAGTATTTTAACAACTTGCAATACCTATTGTAATTACATATTTTCTCACATAAAAATGTGTTACATTTAAAATAGCATTCTTCAAACGTGGTATGTTAAATCATGCATTTTTATAAATAGAAAAAAAACACTGATGGTGCAAGTAAAGTAGTTTAATTTGAAATACAAACAGCTGGTTTTAATTTTTATTTTATATCTCGTGGAAGTAACATTTTTACATCATAATATTTTTTTTAGTTATTCCAAATGCTATTTTAGATGAAATAAGTAAAAAGAAAATTTACAAATCAGTTTTATTCAATTTTGCTTTTTAGAAGTATCTCTATAGACATTGGGAGATTTCAAACACCAGAGGGCCTCTTTACCCCAGAATTGTGGGGTTTGGATTACCCAGGAATCCATAAATTGGTACACCGTGCCTTTCAAGAGTGTAGCATGGACATTCGCCGAGAGATGGTTAGAAGTATCTACCTTAGTGGTGGAGTGACATTATTACCAGGATTTGCAGAGAGGCTTGAAACAGAGATAGACAGACTAACTCCTCCAGCAATAGTTCCCAAGGTTTGCATGGTTAAAATTATGTGTGAGAAATAACTTGAAGTGATGTAATTTTTTTTTTTCCTAAACATAAACATTGTAAATATTTTTGGCTTGAGGTTGTCATGAGTATCTCAATGTGTACAATAAAATATGTAGTCCAGTTTCTTTATTTAACATTATCATCTCTTTCTGCTAGTTACAGAAATAACTTTTTTTATATATGAAAAGCAAATGAATAAAATCTGAATAAGTGTATTGTCTAATGAGATGCATTTTTCAATAATATTATACTTATTATTAAAAACTAATAACTTTTAAAACAACAGCTCTGAAAGTTTAGAGTCCTTCAGTGGATTTATCATCTAGTACTAATAAAATGTTTAGTAAGAAAGCAGTATAAAAAATTCTAAGTAAAACATAATAAAATCAGAAGAGTGTAAGTAAGAAACAAACAGTGTGATAATATACAATGTTCATTGTTATGGAATGGGGTGATTGACATTATTTCATAACGATGATTTTGCTTTGTCATAGCTAATATAACTTCTTAGTTTAGATAACAGCATTTGAAAACACAATATAATATGTTTTTTGTTTCAATTCCAATACAAAGGTACATGCCTCGCCTCATCGTTACCACATGGCTTACCTTGGTGCTTGTCGATTGGCTGCCTCAGATGGATTTCATGAAGCATGTGCAAGTAAAGAGGAATGGTCCAAAAAAGGTTCAGAGTGTTTAAAGCGGTGGCATCTGTAAAATGTAAGAAATACTGTTTGGAACTAAGAGATAAATAATGAGGGAACTTACGACTACTGGATACAAAAGGATGTATTTTTAGAAGTGTTTAACATTAGACAAAGATATCAGGGAAGATATTACTTTGAGAGAAAATAATAACTGTTAAAAGACAGACCAAAATATTTAAAACTTGGAGGTATTATTTTATTTTTGTAATCCTGAAGGAAGCAGAGTATTGGGTCCATTTTTTTATACAATTCTAGTGCCAATATTTCTTCCATGATAATTTAAAATTCCTGCCACAAAGAAATTGAATGAAATATGCTTGTATATATAAATGTCTATACCTGTCTTATATTTATACTGGGAATGAGGGACAGGATCTATCTTTAAAAAGAGGGAAAATCTTCAGACGTTATAAATTTTAGGCCATTGTTACAAGAAGGTGGTCTAAGAAAGTGTAAGGCCTTTGTATATAGTTCCAATTTCAAATGTTTGATCTTTGATGTATTTTATTAACATGCTCTAAATTGATTTATAAAAGGAAATAATGGATTTTTATAAAGCAACCCAGGGTAACAAAAGTTGTGTCAAGATGTTAGCTTGGAATTAAAAAAGTTATATTAGTACATTATAATATAATATAAACTGTAGATTATTACTGCATTGGAAGTACAAATCATAACTTATTATTTAGCAGGATTGTGAGTAACCTGTCTGGAAAGGAGGTCACTTATTGAAGCATATCAGCATAATTAGAAAATATTATCATACCTAACATGCATCTTAAATTGTGATCTGCTCATGTATATACTACCTAGAAGTTAACTGGTTGCAAGTTTTTGTTTTTATTAATAATCATTCCATTTTATAACTTATAAAGAAATGACAGATTTGGTTATCAGCTTTGTTGAAAGGTTGTAAATACGTTTGGTTTAGCCTTGTACCTCACAGTAATACTAATACAGCATTCATATCTCTTTAAAGCTTAAGATTAATTGGGTTTGGCTGTTTAGCAGTTTATTTTGTATTAAAGGAAAGAATTCTTTATTTGAGTGGATAATACTTGATGTTTTAAATTTGATGCAGTGCAAGATTCATATATTACTTTTACTTTTGAATTATCATAAATATGATGTGATGTATTCACATGCAACAAGGTTGTAATTGTAAGGTAATATGTCTTTGCTTACTTGGGTGCCTTTAATTTGTTGTTCTGGCAATCCCTGATATATTTTGTTATAAATTAAGTTCTGTATAATAGTGGTTTATTTTGTGTATTAAGTATTTTCAAGGTGAATTTGAAAATTGTTTTAAACAACTAATAAATACTGTGTTAGGAGATGAGTAGATATTAGAGCTTCTTTCCCTTAATTAATTAGAAGCTAATTTCTTGATTGGTTACTTTATATATCTGTGTACTAAGGAAAATCAAACTTAATCATTCCAGTTCAAGTAGCAAATGCTGCTGACATTAACGTTGCATTCCTTCCTCCTTTGCAAAGAAAATATTTTTAAGCTGTTTACTCGTACTTAAGATTATTTTAGTAACCATGATCAATTGAATGTAGTTGGTGGTTTACACATTGAACAATACATTTTTCAAGAAAGGCTAAGCAACACAGAATACAATATGATAAATAATTGCAAAGTTTCTTTTTGCATAGTAGTTTTCAGTTTGATACGGTAAACCAAGCTCCACATGATTAGGTAACATTTTAAAACTTGTTTAATTTTCAAAAGCCTGAACTCCTAATGAAAAGTCATTTGGCATAATCAGTGTAGCAGGCTAAGTAAAAAATTCTAACTTATTATTGGTTAACAAGATTGTGTAACCTGTCTGAAAAGATGATCACTTATTGAAGCATACTTAGAAAATATCTAAAGGAATGCAGAGTTTGTTTTTAGAGAAGGATTTCACATTCCATAAAAGTTTTCAAAATAATCAATTGCAAATAATGAAAGAGCTATTCAATAAGATTTTAGGTATGGTGTAAAATCAACAAAAACAATGTAGTGATAAATAACAATCAAATGTGATGTTTAATGAGGGATAGATTTGCACTCAGTAAAGCACATAAACCACACCACTGTATGAAATTTTATTGAATGCTCTCTGGTGACCAAACTTAACTGATTGCTACCCTTCATTTCATACAAAAGTAGGGAATGCATATTCAAATTGTGACATTGTCCCATTCTACTGTTTAAAGACAAAACAAAAAGAAGTAATACTTAAGGGAAACGGATTTATTGAAATATGCTGGAAATTGTTTGTGTTCAAGAATTTTGGAAACATTAATTTCAATTAGTAAAGAAAGAACTAGAGAATTGGTTGAATAAATTAACAGTTGTTCTGTACTTTAATATCGAGAGTCTCAATTAATGTGCTTTCCCTGCATGCTTGGTTAATGTTTCCAATACTTTTAATGTGATTCTCTTGAACTATGTAAGCTTGATTAAAACATAAGAGCTTTGCATATTTTTTGATCTGAAGAATTTCCAAAAATCCAGTCTTTCTTCAGTTCGTATCGTACATCATCTTTACTGAAGTTGACAGAAGACAATAAATGTACTTTTTTAAAGTTTCATGGCAAAGGGTAAACAAGTTATACTCACTGTTTGCTATTCAGGAATTTTAAGAGTTGCAGGAATTAATTTCTAAATAATATATTTTTTTAATGTGTGTGTGTGTATATATAAGATTTGGGATACATGCTTCACATGAATTTTGTTATAATTTATATTCTGTACAAAGAAATATTGTAGTAACATTTTCTTTGAGACTCGTAAGTGTAATAAAAGCAACAAACTACAAGTTTACTTCATGTTGACAGTTTATTATTATATTATCTAGCTTTTGACTGTTATATTAAAATTCACACAGGTGGTAATACACTAATAAACTGTTACTGTGGAGTAAGTAGGCAAACGGAAGCCTGCTGTTGCTTTACCAACGCTAATTTCAAGTGATATTAAACAAAAAAAAAAGTATCCAAGTAAAAGAAGTGACTAGATCCATGAAATAGGTTTCTAGTTATTTATTTTTTGTAACGCATGTTTTAAATATACACGATGAAACCATTCAGTGTGCAGATGGAGGGGAAAAAACTACCACTACATTAATGCTCGTGTTTGGAAGGGAACTTGTTTATCTACTACTTCTTAATCTCCTAGACAGGCCACGTGAACCAAACTGAGTTCCTGACAGCTATTTTTATATATAGAATTGAATGCCATTGTAAATATAATTAGTTTACTTCAGAACTAAAAAATGACATATAAATTAATAATGTTTATTTTGTGTAACAAACTAACTAGAAGTACACATAAATCAATGCAACTTAGTGACAAGAATGTATTATTTCATCATTTAAGTACCTTCAGTAGTATCAGTTTTTAGTGATCTTCAGATTTACCTAGTTAGAATTTTATGTTAGTACTAAATTCATATGCTCAGTTAATATAAAAAATATAAATATTGTTATAAAATGAATTTTGATAAGATTCCCTAAAGTTATGTGAAGAGTCCATGTCTTTATCTTACCTAAATGACAAGAATAAAACTATACTATGAAGGATACTGTAAGAAACTGCTTGTAATTCGTTAATGCATTTTACATATTAAGAAAGTAACCCACTGTTTCAAGCAATAATTTTTCTTTATTACAAGATCAATTTCACAACACCAACAACTATATACTCTTACAAAATTAAGTAACATGACAATCCTGTAGTTGAAGTATCCAGCAGGCACTGCAATAAATTCACATTTGAAATAATAAAAATGGACCTCTAGATATTTTTAGGAAACTAGAAAAAGGAAGCATTTATGAGCAAGTTCAAATTATCTGTGGAATTCAATAGTATTAAAATCATGAGTTCACACAGCTGTTTCTTTTGAAATAATGGAATAACATTCAAGGTTTCCAAACCTTAAACAGAATTTTCCCTGTTTGAATTACTTCAAATAATCAATACATCTCTTAAGTTTTATGGAAGATGAAAAAAAAAGGTTATTCATGTTAGTGGTGACTTGTTGTTGTATCTGTGAATAAAATTTACATGAGGGTGGTGTAACATTCATGATTCAATTAATGAATGTTGTAGACATAAAACAAGTATAAAAAAAGTGTTCCTTACATAATTATATAGAAGCTGGTAGTTTCTTGTAGTACCCGCAAAGGTTTTATATGTCAATTTGACTTCTTTGAAGCAAATTAATGCTGTACTGTTAAAAAAAAATAAAGCTATCGCTTTAAAACATTAAATAAATAATGTATGCAGTATTGTTTTACATGTAGCACATTAATACAAAAATTATACTATATGAAACACCTATTTCACAAGTTTAATTTTTCCAATTCTATTCTAAGAGTATTTCAATAGAACTGATTTAATTGTATTTTAGTGACACTCTAATATAAAATTCAAAGCTTCTATCTGCAAAGAATGGTTACCTATTACTTGTAAACTTTTAAATTTAAGTAGAAGTCCATTGTAGAACTGGATGGTAAATGTGTATTTTCTACCACAAAGAAATACAAGTGCCAAATTGAAAATGTTCTGGTAAAAACATTGTTTGAACAGGTAATGTATATATTAAAAGTGGAAATCAACCGACTTAACAGAAGCATATGATTTAAATAACCAAAGCTATCTACTAGAAATATATACTTTCTTAAATAGTTAAAAAATCACTAGCTAAGAAAATTATTTACGTAAAAATAATGCTACATGTATAACCTAATTTAGATCGGCCCTAAGAAACTGGAGTACGACATTCAGTGACTTTTCACTGATTTAGTTGTAAAAGCAACATTAAATTTGACATATGCTATAAAAAACAAATTACTAAAAGAATTTCATTTAGCAAAGGAATTTGATATTATGTTTTTAATAATACTGACAAATAAAGTTACAACAACACAACTTTATAAACATAGATACTATGAAATGTTTAAGGGGTTTTCCTTATCACAATTCTATTGAGTTATAAGTTAGTTTCAATTTTTAGAGCAACTTTTCCACACTACTTGTACCTATACATAATTTTCTGAAATTAAATTATAACTGTTTAATTAAAGGTGAAAAAAATGCACAAAAGCATATCCCACCAAATTTAAAGACAATATAAAAATTGGTGTTACACAATATTTAATTCATGTAGACTTTTCAATCTTTCTTTTATAGAAACGGATTTCTATAAACAAGTTTATCTTAACTAAGAGTATTTCTGATTAACCCTATTGCTACGTGTCATGGGTCAAAGGCCATGTCGAATGTTTATTGAACTACTATTTTATGAATGTATGTCAATAAGTTTGGTATCAAATTGTAGATTATAATTCAAATTTCAGTATGATCCATTAATTTCTTAATTTAAAACTAAATGTTAAAAGAGAAATCCTAAATATCCATTTCTGTTTGTCACGTGGTATGTTGAATGCAGCATTGGTTCCAATTAGATGTTTGTGGTGTCCAATTACAATGTCTATTGTTGCTTACAAATTAGGAACTCAAATTATCGATATTGACAAGCTAGAATCTAAAATAAGAACCTCTTCTATTTGCTGAGATATTGCTACATTTACTGAATCAAACAGTGACCCAGACCCACCTCTTTCCATTTTTGAAAATGCTTACATACACCTACTTCTGTCTATGACATGAGAATAACCAATCGAAAGCTCAAAATGTCCCCACGTGGTTTTCTGAGCCTTTGCAAGTACTTATGCAGGAAACCCTTTGTTTTCATGGCAGACTTCAAATGATAAGGTATATTCTTTAGTGAGCTCAAAATTTAATATATTTTTAGACCCAAATACAGCTTAGTTATTTTCTTTTTAAATTATAGTGGAATTTCATGATATCAGTAATTTGTGATTTTTGGTTATTTCAAAATTTATATATAAGACCTAAAAAAATTATTCCGTTTCACATCCTCCACATGCAAAATTTGATAAGGCTTAGCATCTAAGGTAAGCAGCAAATGAGTTCAATGTTTGTAACTAGAAGAGATAATTATTTCCTATAATTCTTTATTTACTGTTTTATGTTTTAAGAATTTGACTGTATTCCACTACATACTAGTCCACTAAAACACCGCCAAGACAGGTCATTTTGTAAAGGCCAGTTTTATATTCTTGGATATGGTAACGGGCATGTGCACCACGTCATTGCAACTTCTACAGTGTTAGTTAGGCATGGCTGAAAGGTCAATATAATAAAAAAATAAATATATAATTTTAACAAATTTAAGCTATTTAAACTAAACATCCATATTTTTTGTGTTATAATTTTTTATGGAGGTTACTAGGTTGGTAAAATCGAACCAACCCAGTAGTGAAAATAACAGATAAAATAGTTTATAAAGATTTTGCATGTGAAACTTGAAAATGTTCTGATGCATAAAAGTATCTTTAATCTTAAAATCAAAATTACTTTACATGTTGGATAGTCAACATTCTAAAAGAAAATCTTAATACTTAATTTGAAAGCCTTGTAATGTTTACCAATAAACTGCAAAGTTTTGTAAAGATATGCATACATTATTAAAAATCATAGGACAATTACTCTCATAGATACTTTCGTAGTTACCACCCAGTCAGGAATGGAAGGAAGTCTACTAATTCAATCTCTTTGGACAGATCAGTTGTATAATATGAAGTAAAAAAACTGAAATTAAGAGTGATATCAACAAATGTTTAACAGATTAGTGACTACTGATACAAATGATTGTGATAAACAAGTAATCTCAAAATGAAACTATTAAGTTGGTAATATATAATGCTTCATCATGAAACTCAACCATATAGAACTAAACATATTTTTCACATAAAACTATCTTAAGCTAATATTTGTACAACTATACAATACTCATTTTAAAAGAAAGACATATCATCTGCAATGAGCAAACACCACAAACTTAAAAATGTACATTATTTTCTTGAGGTATTTGAACTCCTTAGTGCAGTTTTGTAATGAAATGAATTAGTAAAGCATATATCCAGTATTTTCTGAAGCTCCAGCCATTTTATCCTTACATTTTTACGAGGAATCCTATAATAATATCCAAATTCTTATTTAATTGACATGCAAATTTCATTTATACAAAATTGATGTTACACTTTTTCTCTTTTTATCATTGAGTTTCTCACTATAAACACTATGGCTTGTTCTTAGATACTTTAATTATCAATCGGTAGGCACTTTTCATTAAAACTGGAAGAAATAGGAAAAATAAAGGTTAAAGTTCAGAGGGTACAGAAGGTCATATGAAAATGATTTTGAATGTGCAAACCAGTAAATCACTCGACAACCTCAGGCAATATAAAGTCATGGTGAAACATCAGGATTACATTTTGACATTGGAGTTTTACAAGTAGTGTGATGTTGCCAAAAATTGATCACCTTTATGACAGTCCTTTCAAGTGCAAAATATTCATACACTAAGATTATGAACATGGGTTCAAGTTGGGAATTTCCAATAAGGGGTTACATCCCTTATACAAAAGGCATTGGGCAAAAAAATAATATATATATGGATCAACTTGGGGATGCAGGACAATTCAAAAGGAAACCTACAAGTTGTGGAATCATATAACAGATGAGAACCTATAAACACTATGTTCAGTGGCAAAAGCCACTCATATGCACCAGGCAACAATACATAACACAAACAAGAGGGTTCTCTAAGGACAAGGCTTCTTTCTAATCATCTGTAGAATGAAATGGGTATTCATGCTATTCCATAAGAAGGCATACTGACTAAGTTGATGGATGCAATGCATATGGATTTCTGTGTGATTAGATTGCTGAAATGGGTACTGGAAACTATTGTCTTCTTGCATTAGATGGATTACAGAAAGCCAGCAACGAAATACATAAATTACTTCTTCACTTGCAATTTCATGTTTGCAGAATGTATTTTTCATTCTATTTTGAAAGAAAAATATAACTTAATAAGTACATTGCTCGAGCCTTAACTTGTACAAATACATTATGTAAAAACATGACTATATTCTTTAATATTTACCAACTTGAAACTGTGCTTTAAGATCTCTGTGAAAATCCTGCATATTAAACATGAAATTAAATTTGTTGGTTTTTTCAAAATGCAGATGTCATTCACATAAAGAAAAGAACATAATATCTAAGTTTGAAGTGGTCATTGACCATCATATGCTGTTTTACATATGCGATACCTTTTAGCACCAAGATTTAATGTATAGTAAATACATTTCACAATTTAATACAATGTATAAATAATATTTTGTTTGATAAGGTTAAGGGGTCTATGTATTTTCAAAGCATGTAAATGTATATTACGATGACTTTCAGTGCTTGTAATTCAGAACTAATTAAGAGAATGTTGCACTTTATAAATAAAAGGTAATTCAACAACTTTGATTTTCACTCAAAATTGGACTGCATAATTTACCCTGAAAGATCTTAAAATTTGATTCATTCCTGTCTAATTTAATTTAAGCTAAGTTATAACATTTAATATAAAATGGAAGTTAAAGGTATCACAATAAAAAAATAACTAAGTAAAAGGAATGTTCCACTTTTGTGCAAAGCCGTATAAGCTGTGTTTCTACATACACGTCAAATCAAAAGTGCACTATGCAAATATTTGGAACTGAAAATGCAATACATGAAGTAATTAGAAGGTACCCTACAGATAAATCTGAATAAATTATGGTTGCAATACAGAAATACATCAATTAGAAATACACTGGAAAAATGCTTCAATACGTTAGGGGTACAGCTTATAAATATTTGAAAAGGTCAGAAGGACAATACTGAAATAACCAAATTTATTAAAGGAAGACAAAAAAGCAGATTTAATCAGAAGTAAACTACAGAAATATTACAACGTATTAATGATACATTACAGGAATACCTCAATTAATCGGAGGTGCACTCTAGAAATGCATGAAATGTTTAGGAGTACACCACACAAATATTTGAAATGATTAGGGATACCTTATAGAAATGTTGAAATTGAGTACGAGTACATTAAAGGAATTATTTCACTGATTAAATGTACTATACATATACTTGAATTGATCCTTTGTACAGTTGAAAGAGAAATACTTAAATCTGATTGGGTACAATAGACATATTTAAAATAAGTAGGAGCACACTAGAGATATACCTGAATGATGTTCAACACTATGTATATAGATAGGGATTTTTTTTGGTCCAAGATTAGTCTCTAAATAAGTTAAAGGGAAGACAAAAAAAAGCTACACCAGTATTACAAAAATGTTATATACAGATGAGACACTATCTCTACTTCCCATGTGAGTTGAAAGGAAATCACATTGCACAGTACAAATATGCACAAATCTACAGTTAGACCTAACTTTATAGCAGTATAATTAAATGACCACAACTTCAACCATCTATTTGTTTCTAACATTCGCTGTACAATATTACACAGACTTTCAAATATACCACACAATATGAAGAGAAGTCAGTATTAAAACTCATAGTAACTTTGGGTGTGGCAGGATACACATTACTTTAATACAATAGTAGCAGCACAATTTTTTGTACAAATAGTTAAATATGACTTGACAAGAGTTCTGGTGTGCACACACATTTTTAACCAGAGATCATCACTGTGCTGATCAGCTAATTTAGTTCAGTGTACACTGGACAACATTGTCTTGTAACTGGCAAATGTCTGATGATAATTACAAAGCCACTTCAAAAAGCTCTGTATCCACAATCCTGTAGATTGTTAGATATCATTTTTTATTCACACAATAAAAACATCAGTTGTTGGCTGTCATTTCACACTCAGAATTTTACTGTAATACTACATGAATACTTGATTTTATTGTTCCAAAACGTTGTTGGGTGCATTTTTAAACTTATATGCTTGTGGTATTTCCATTATACTTAAAGAAGTTTAATAGTACCATATTCACACTTACACATTAGTAGTACTTCATTTACACTTAGAAGTTGAGAGATACTTTGCTACATACACAAATAGTTGACATTGTCTTCATATTCAAGCACAGATAATATGTTGTTTGTCAGTTTTCCCACAGAGCAAAGATACACTTATGACTTTATGCGAAGTTACTGGTACTTTCTTCATATCTCTACACCACAGAAAACAAGATGAAAGTATTTTTTATTTAAGAACTATCAAGCTGGGCTGTCACTCTTTTGGGAACTGGTATCCAACTTCACCACATGTCCATTACTGGTGAGATGCCCATTAGTTGGGACCACAGGGTTGGCTAAACAGGGCTCAGTTTCAATATGAGTGTTATTCTCAGTCTTGCTTTCCAAAGCACGGTAAAGGAAAAGATAATCATCCTAATAAATAAATAAGTAAAAATATTAGCTTATAAAAATATTTATCAGTCTTTGATTTTTTTATTTTTAAATATTTCCTCTGGATAGAAAATCAAATTAGAAAAAATAGTAAATTATCTATATTCTTCACATAGCAAACTTAAATTGATCTGGGCTGTTTTAAACAATTAGATACAGAAAAAGGTGTGTACAAACTAATTGGAAAGAATGTTATTTGTTAAAGATTTAAAAAAGTAGATGGAAAACACTAAATATATTTTGAAATGAATGGCAGTGTTTCACACCAAGGCCCTTCAACAGTTAGTGCTTGAAATTTTAAAAAACTAAACAATCATTTCCTTCAACTGATTACTTTATTTCAACTTCTTGTGAGCAATTACAAAACATCAGCTTCTCAACTAACTTGGCTTTTGACACAACTGTACTAAGGATGAACAAGTAACCATCTCAAATCAATATATGATGTTGTTATCAATCTTGCAGACAAAAGAGGTGCCACTGTGGTCTGGTGCTCTCACTTGGCTGAAGCTGAGACTTTTGTCTGACATTTCTTTTAACCAACCTATGCCTGGTAAAGATCCACTTAGCTGTTTACAAACCATTATTTATAATACTACTGACATTCTATCTATGAAATAAAACTACTGTTTAATGATGACATTTTATTCATCTCTATTCACAAATGGTTGCTTTTTTATGTTCTTCCTAGAAGATCTACAGTACTGGTTTGTAACTACACTAATGAACTCATATATGAAACAATCTTGGAAGACCTATGGTGTCAGCTTGTAATTGTCCCACTGAACTTATAAACCAAACCATCCTAGAGGACCTATAATGTTGGCTTGTAACTGTCCCACTGAACTTGTAAACCAAACCATCCTAGACGACCTATGGTGTCAGCTTGTAACTGTCCCACTGAACTTATAAACCAAACCATCCTAGAAGACCTATGGTGTCAGCTTGTAACTGTCCCACTGAACTTATAAACCAAACCATCCTAGAAGACCTATGGTGTCAGCTTGTAACTGTCCCATTGAACTTACAAACCAAACCATCCTAGAAGACCAACAGTGTTGGCTTGTAACTGTCCCACTGAACTTATAAACCAAACTATCCTAGAAGACCAACAGTGTCAGTTTGCAACTGCACCCCTGTACTTATTTCTAGGTTTATTGATAGTATTCTAGTTCTAAATCTATCAAGTCACACGCTATCCAGTTGATTAACAATTTTCCTATTAACTTTTCCATCACCATTTTTGCTGGTGACATTGTGATCCTTCATTGTGATGGTTTACAAGCTCTAAAGTTTTGTCTGGACAGACAAGACATTCCTGAACCTTCAACTGATGTACTATGGCTACAAGAACTTGTACTCAACCTTAACACCATCATATTTAATGACAATGTTTATAAGCAATTTTGTGGTATTGCCATGGGTACTGAAATTGGTCCTTTGTATGCCAACTTGTTTGTTGGCTACACTGAACACCAAGTGTTTTCACAACTTCATAGTGAAACCCCTAATTTATATGGTAGATACAATGACAACATCTTGGCAAATTTACTGGTGACAGAATAGAGTTTGTCAGTTTCATTAGTTTTTCTTTCTCTGTTTTGCCTGTCACTGAATTTTTTTCGCACACCTTTTATTCCTTGACTTGGACATAAGTACTGACAATTGTTTGATTCTTGTCATCCTTCCTCCAACATACTTTCCATTCCTTAATCAGTTTTTATGCTTATGGTGTTTCTATAGTGAAGAGGATTATTTCACCTCCAAATCTGAAGAAATAACAGATCTCTTCACACTGTTATCAAACCCTGCTCATAAATAAATAAATAAAGCCAGCAATATACTCTTGACTCAAACCTTTACTCGACTGACACCACACACAAAACAAAAACATTTCCTTACCATCCTACTGTGTGTGCCTGCCGTTAACTAAAATCATAATGGACAACTTTCACACTTACAAACTAATTCACCTACTAAAAACATTTTTACTGAAAAACCTGTGGTTGCATTTATACACAACCATCATCTGCCAGATTTACTTGTTCACTCCAGTCTTGACAAGAGGTGTATTTATTAACAGTGATGTTGATGAACCAGTCTCTTGATATTTCTGAGACAACAAACATGATCTTTCACACCTTAAACTAGTTATCTTAAAAGTATGCTGTAGTTCAACATTGTTCAGATGAATGCAATTGACAATACCTTAATTATATCCAAGAAACCAATTTTTCATCAGGATTAAACTAGTTCTCTAATTTTGTTGTATTTTATTCCTATTATTACAAATTTTCTTGTACATTTTCATTCACTCACATTTATTATATTCTATTTTCTTAATTATGTATCATTTATCAATGTTTTACTCTTGTTTGTTTTGCCTAGGCAATGTTTTTCCCAAGAATTAATGTACATGTGATGTGATTTATATGTTACACTCTTTATTCTGCTATTGTCATTCAAATTTGTTTCTCATTTAGGGTATAAAATGATCTTAGGTATTACATGATGAAGAGCCTTGGCATGAAAAGTTGTTATTATTTCAAAATAAACTGACAGTGTGTTCATCTGCTGTGTTTATTTTTGACAAGTAATATTTGTTCCAAAACAATTACGCATACAATTAAATATCTAATCTTTCTGGTTCATGCAAACTTATCATTCTACTTATTAACTGCTAAGCTCATGATGAAATATTGAGAGATTGTGAAATGAGGATAGGACATTAAATCTTTAACCTGAATAGTTTACTTTTAATCTCCTAAGAAAACAAAAAATATTCATATTTTGGGCATCTAGGACCTTCTCAACTTTCTTGATACTTCTTAAAATGAATTTCTACAGGTCCTACCTGAGTCTTCCAAATACCAGGCCTACAAGTATGGTAGAGTTTGGCATACATATACACATCAACAGAGTGCTCATATTTGAACTGCTTGAAGAGTGTTGACAGACAACAGAATGTCCCAGCTTCTGTGCCTCCAAATCTAACAAATGAAACACATTTACAGAAAATGTGCATAAAAAGTATTTCAAAAAGACTAAATAAACTTTTAAATCATGAAACACATGATTTTATATAAACACTAAAGTACACTTTTCAACCTTTAAACACCCACCCACACACATATATATATATACTTTAATATATACATTAATGCTACAGGATAATTTTTATTTGTGTGCTTTTGTAGCTTTAGTTGTTTATTGACCTATAAACACCCAATGAAGATCAACTAAATAATCAAATAGAAACAGATAACAATTAGGTAATAATGTACATAGAATAAAAGTTCATAACAAAAGAGGAACTGGAATCTAAAAAACGAAAAATAATTAATTATTAAAAATCCTTCAAGACAAAGATCCAAAAGAAAATCAACATTATTACTGTTAAATGTCTCCATATATTTCTAAATAAAGAGCTATCCATAAAACAATTTTCACAGTTTTTACACTCTCAAAATGAGAAACACAAAATAAAGATTCTCTAAAGTAATTGTATTTATTCTTCAAACCAGCATTAAAAAGACTAGAACAGCTAAGAAAGCTGTCACAATGATTTCTCACATGTGATGTAAACCACTTTAATGTCAATTTAAGGTTGTCAGTTTGTCCAATATACATTTCTTTACAGAATAAACACTAAAATATCAACATGCAATTAACAATAAAACCACTGTTACGAAATCAAGTTAACTGTGAATTTATTTTTCCACATTCCTATGAATTTGTTGGTGGAAGCTCAAAACTAGAGGTATGTAAAAAATAGGATTTCAGGTCTATCTTTTGTCTCCAATAACTCATTGTTCAATATCAGAATTCATCAATTGGGTTGGATGATGATAAGATTTTATGAAATACAATTTATATAAGCAGTATAATACTTTAAAGGTTTCACAGTTTGAGCAAAAAAGCCAACCAAATATTGGAAAACCAGTCGGCCTATAAATGTTATAAAATCATGAAAACTGCAGATGTTTACATCATAATATTTAAAGTATTATACCGCAATTATAAATAATATTTCATATAAAAAATTTTCTCTCACTGTCCAGCCAAGCCAATAAGCTCTGATACTGAATGAAAAGCCACAATGGACAAATTAAGAGGAATGTGAAATAAAATCTCATCTGCAGTAAGCTTGTTTTTATAACAATTTATGAGCCAACTGGTTTTCCTATATTTCACCAGCTTTTAGTGCTTAACCCGATGACTACCGACTACTAACTTTCTTAGTAGCCAATGCAAGTCTTGCTATATGTCATTCCAACAATAAAACTATTGGTTAAAAAGTTTTGAAACTTCTTAAGAACTTTCATAAATGCACAAACTTTACGAAACATAAAGCCTGTTACTTTTGATAAATTTAGTTTTTTTGCATTATGATCTTTAATATCTTAGAAAATTACATTAGGAAATGGTATTTATAAGAAATGATAACGATATTTATATTTGTTCCAGATTTGAACTTATTGTTTTTATGTTTTAGTACATTATTTTGCAATCCCAAAAAATTTGTATCGTCCATAAAATACAAATTTTATCTATTTTTTTAATAATCATGTACGCTCCTTATGGTTTCAAGTAATATATAAGACCCAAAAATAATATTTGTAAATAAACCTAAACAATAAATCAGTATTTTTGTTTTTAATTAAGATTTCATATTTATATATGTACATAAAAACATTTCAATTTTCTTTCATAAATATATTTTTATTTCAAGTTTATGTTTATGTTTCATTGCAGCCGTACTTTTGTTTATTGTGCTGAATAAACCATGGGGTCAGCAGCATGAACTCTGTACGTTTTCCGTAAACTATCTCATCCCTGTTGGGGGTCATTCTTGTTCAGCCCAGCTCGGGCACATTTGAACATTACTGTAGATATGATAGTAAGAAAGCTTTTCGATACTTGAATATTATTTCTTTGAACTTTTAAACAAGTTTATTTCAACATATGTTCGTGCATGTTGTTTCACTATAGAGACAAAACTAATTGCCACTACTAGCGAATGTATGTAACAGTTTATAGTACAGGTGGTTTCAATAAACACCGCCTGAGCCTGACCCCTTGTTACTTGATACATCCTGTTAGAAGAGATTACCAAATGATACAGACACCATAAATTACAAAGAAAATTACTTTACAGCACTTAAAAGATTAGTCCTGGTCACATTCCTCTCATTACAGGCAAGATTTATGTTGGAATGCAAAACTTAAGCTCTTCAATGTATTGAGACCCCAACTGTGAGAATGTCATAGTTTCCCTGTATTATTGGAATGAATGTATTTAGCCTGTTTCACAACCAACATATGGATTTTATTGTTGTCACTACTGAGTTTGAACCATTTGCAAAATATCAGAATAAATTATATATATATCAGTTAGACTGTTTTAATTCTAACGCAATAACAAGTGTGGGTCTTACTACAAAGCAAAGATTGTAAGAAGGAAAAATATAAAATTATTTTGTGTTACGTACAAATCACAAGTTTTTCATTCTAAATACTGAATCATATTTTTATTATTATTATTAACTAAATATAAAATTATGCTAAATTATTGAGCTTAAAACTACAAATTTAAATTCAAAAGAATATAAAAAATCACAAACTCTTTCAGTTCAAAGTCCTAAATCTAATTCATGTAAAGACTTTGTACTCGCCACTCGGTAACTCTTTACCCTAACAATCGTGGACCAACTTCTTTCCTAAAAAATATATCTATTTTGAGTTAAGCTATAATATAAAAAAAATAAAAGTCACGTATATCCCATGCAGTTTTTTTCCAGAAGCAACTTTTCTAACGCTTACAGAAAAGTCCTATTGGCCAGTACTATATACAACCTCTACATAAAATGGCAGTTACTATAATAAGCACCACCCACATTCATATTGTAAAATCCAGAGAACAACGTTTCATCACATGTTTTCCTTATCATCCTGTGATTTGTCAAATGGGAGATACAGCAATTGGAATAATTGGTACTGAAATTGATACTTTCGACTAGGATTGGCTAAAAGTTTTACAACTGAGGTTTAACATGCCCAGATGCAGTTTTATAAAGAAAACAGACTAGAAAAAGGTTTAGATACCAATCATAGATGGCAGGATTAGTGCTGAGGTGAAAGGAAATATCTTTAAAAAAATTTAAAAAAAACACTTCTTCTTAGAGGGCGCTTATTTACAGTCTAAAACGTATTTTAGGAATTTTTTCATTAAATTCCTCTTTAAACTTCATTAAATAATACAATTTTGTACAAATATACACCTGGAAAAAAGTTAAGCACCCCCGTGTTTTTTTC